TCATTGCCATCATTCCTTCCTATTATCTTTTTTCTCACTCCAAGTTAGTAGATAAGGAAGCACTGGGGGTTTTTGGTATCGGGGATTACGAATCTGAAGTCAGAATTTTAAAATTCAAAATGTCGTATCCAATATGGCTGACGAATTTTCAAGAAATTGTTTAATTTCCATAAGAATGTGAATACTGGTGTTTTTGGGGTCGCTTAATACGAACTTCAGTCAGAATGGAGTCAGATTTTCAAAATTAGAATAAATAATTATTTTAAAATACACTTCTTTGTTTTGCCTGCAGTTAGCCTACTGTGATAGTAGTTTCCAGGGTCTACCGCGAGGAGGTTGCAGTGCTATTATAGACCCCATTTTTTTTTTAATTTTATTTATTTTTTTTTAGTTTTGTTATTTTTTGTGTTTTTTTGTTTTTTGTTTCTTGTTTTATATATTAAAAAATTTTTACGATGACACAATATACACGTTGCGATAGTAGTTTTTACAATGTTAAAACATTTTTTTAGCCCCCTTAAAATGTTTTTTAGCCGATATAAAAAAATACGTATCAAATATTTTCCATTAAAGAATATGTAGACCAAATTTCAAGACGATCGGTGATTAACACTTGGATAGTGTTACTTGTAAGTGTAAGTTCGAAACGTTTGTGCAAATTTTCGATTTCTGGACATGCAGTTAAATATTTTCCATGTCGTGCTTTAATTTTATTAAGACTTTCCAAGACTCCATTTCATTTAAAAATGAGTTCGTATTATTTATTATATTATAATGTGGTTCATCACATACTTGCGAATTCTTTTCATTATTATTAATTTGAGTATTTTCATGTTTCACCAAGTTGCATTCAATAGTGTCATTCGTAACAGACTTGTTGAAATCACTATTGGGAATGTAAGATTCATTATTGGAAACGTCAGAATTAGAAATAAGTTGTTAGAAATATCAGGATTGTCACTATTACGGGATAACAATATTCTTTTCTTACAATTAGTAAATGTTGGTTGACTATAATTATCTTTAGTCTTATGCTGCAAAAAATTAGGTTTAAAGTTTTACTGTTCCAGCCAATGATTTTAGGTGCAAAATAACAAATTTATCAATCCTACTGGATTTAGCGCCTTTAGATATGAAACTTTTGATTTCTCTAAAATTCTTCGCTACGAGCGGAAGAAGCAACCGTATTTTCATCTTCGTACAAAATAGTATTTTGATTTGTTGTGGACATAACAGTAGATCATAATACAAAGTGTTTGCATAATTTTAAAGGACGTGTTCCAAAATCAGGACAGTAATATGGGTTGGGCCGATTTCCATTATTTTCTTTTTTACTATTGTTTTCGATTTTGTTTAAAAATTTGTTAATGTCACTGTCAAATGTATTATTTGAATCATTCTCAGAAACTTCCTCAGAATCTTCAAACTTAATTAATAAATCAGATTCACTAATATCATATATGATGTAAAGTGTGTCTTAATGATTTCAAGGAGTCTGCGTTGTGCACAATGGTTGTTGATGTCTTCTACACCTTCTAAATTTGAAAAAGCTACGGTTAAAACATCCATATAAATTTGACAAAAATCGTTAATTTGTAGTACATTTTAATAAAATACCTACACATCGGATAAAAAAGTCTTTAATGCTAGCTGGTGTGTGAATAAAACAAGGCCATCTGCATACTAATTTTATTAAATATGCAATATCTATACAAATTACACAGGTTATTAAATTTTTATGAATTGATACCAATAACATCTTCATGTAATTATTAATATAAGATTGCAAGTCGGTATTACTAACAAGAGGAGGATCAGGTGACTCACCCTGGGATTTCGACCCCAATTTTTTTGGTTATTCTGGAGGTGAAAAAAAAAGATACGTGTCCCGGCGTTTGATTGAGTAAGCCTTAGTTTTGGAGTAATAAATTTGTGAAAATTGACCATATCCGAAGCGCGCCGCGACGCGCCATATGAGCCTTTCTAGTAGCAATTCTTTCAACCAATGCGGTTGGCTCTGTGAGTTAGGCGCTTGCTTCATAATTCATAAAATCCAAGTTCGCTTCCAGAGGTTGGCAATAATTTTTTTTTTAATGGATTAGGTTTTATTTATTTTGATGGTACTGATATAGCATGCAAATTTTTGAAATAGAAAATTTAATTTATTAGGTGTTGAACTTAATTCCTGCCGCTCGCTACTAGAGAGTGCTGGCTCCAACGCTGGCGAGTTTCGACGATGAAGTCATATGTCTTTTGTAGTTTAGACATCGCTGAAAGTGATTCAATCCTCACAGGTTAGATTTCTCGACGCCAAAGAGATTTTCCAATCGATTGAAAATGATCATCCGTAGCCAACAATCGATGCAAAGTCATTTTGTTGCATGATAACGCTCGACCGCATGTCGCGAAAAGTGTGAAGCAGACACTTCTAGAGCTTGAATGAGAAGTTCTCCCGCATCCAGCGTACTCTTCAGACTTGGTACCGTCGGATTACCATCTTTTCCGATCGATGCAACACGCACTTACGGACACACACTTCTCCAGTTACAACGAAGTCCAAAAATGGGTGGATGAATGGATCGCCTCAAAAGACACCGCGTTCTACCGTCGTGGGATTACCCTGTTGCCAGAGAGATGGGAAAAGTAGTAGAAAATGGAGGAAATTACTTTGATTAAGGTATTCATTCATCTTCCTTTTGAAACAAATCAATTTTGGAGACGAAAAAACGGCAGGAATTAAGTTCAACATCTAATAATATCACATTATAAACATTAATTTAAATTTAATTTTAAGGGAATTTTAATTCATGTAATAATATTTGCAATAATAATAAATAAGTAAAATATGGTTATCCCAAAAAATATAACTATAAAATTATAGTCACTTGAACCATTTTTATGGTAATTTCAACTATTTTATGGTTATAACAACTATAATTATAGTCATTTTAGGTTGCCAATTATAACATTTGTTGCTGGAACTATATATATAATTACTGTTATTATTATTATTATAGCAGTAATAATCATAATTATAGTAATATATAATTATAGTTACAAATACCAAACATTTTTCTTTCTGTGCAGTAATGATGCGTTTGATGAATGTTGAGTCGGATTCAGCCTTGGAAATCATGTCTTTGACGATGTCAACGCGGTCCCTTTTTTGCATAAAATTCAATTCCTTCGGGATCAACTTTGCAGCAACACGGCGCAAATCCAAATCATTAACTACAATGTCCTGAACGGATCCATAGGCAATGTTTAAGTCCTCTGCCAGCTCTCTGATAGTTAATTTGCGATTATTGATCAACATTTCTCTCACTTTATTGATGTTTTCATCGGTTTTCGATGTCGACGGCCTGCCACTGCGTTCGTCATCCTCGACCTTCGAGATTCACGACCACTTCTGAAGCGTTCATGCCACTCGTAAACGGTTGTTTTTTTTAGAGCATCACTGCCGAAACAGTTTCCCAACATTTCCAAGGTTTTCGCACCATTGAATCCATTTTTAACGCAAAATTTAATACGAACTCGTTATTGCAAATTCAACTCCATTTTTAAAACTGTAAAAAATCGAAAACACGTGCAGAGGTAGATGTACTCAAGACGGCGTAACTTTTACAAATGTCAAGCTATGGCGATAAAATTTGGTGGAAATGTCAATGATAGATGTGGCAAAGAAACAGAACTCAAATCAACTGACTCAGAGCATCACCTGGTGGTAATTCCGGGAACTTTTTGATCAAGATGGTATACCATTTTGCGTTATGTACATATAAACGTAAAATTTGCTCATCGTACCATCTAATAATCTACAGCAGTTTGCCAAGAGATCTTTATAAGGCCGAAACTCATTTTCATCAATTTCGCTGAAATGTTCCAAAACGTGGAATAGTTTCAGCGAAACTTTTTCATCAGGGATAATATCACAAATCATACCCATACTATGTGACATAGAAATAAAATTTTTTTAATATAATAAGTTTTCCTTCCCGTTTAATAATAACTTTACTACGATATCTAGCTAAACATGTATATATACATCAATCTAATACTTTATGTTTAAATTATAATTTAGGATAAGGAGAGCATAAATACGCAATAAGTATTATTAAAAAACGCGAGCGTGGCGTAGCAGACAACAGCACCTCTGCAAGATAGAAGATCCCGGGTTCGATCTCCAGCAGAATTGAAAATTTTCGTACGCTCGCAGGTCCTCTCGGAAGGCAACGGCAAATAACCGAATAGTATACTTGCCTTTCAAACTTTCCTAAAAATTCGTCGTTCGGAATCGACGTTTTTTGGTAAAAGTGTAGGTCCTATATGACTGTGTACAAACAGCATGAGCACCACAGGTGTATATGAGAGAAGTCACCATGCTCTTAAGATATTTCAAGAATTGGCAAAGTTACGTAATTTGTTTATCGTAAATTTGCTGCAACTTTTAAACGGTGCAACTACAAACGACCGGAAAATCACTACACACAATTACAAACGATTTTGAATCAAGATATATTAATAATTTATTTTATCTTAAAGTCGGGTGACGATCATTTTTTTTAAATTTTGTATCTTTTATTATATGAAACTATAAACGAAACTATTGTTACTACAAACAACTACAAACAAAATGCTAGCATTTTTTTTTATAAAAAAATTTAATTTATAAAAAGTTGGGTGCCAAGGTTCACTAAGGTTTCGAAAAGTCTCCTATTATTTTGCAACTTTTACGATTTTTTTAGTTACCCAATTAACAGAAAGCCTAAATTGATGCCTGAGACAACTTTAAAACATCTTTAAGATATCTTTAAGAATATCTTTGAAATATTTCATAAAGAAGTTTGAAAGATACCTTAATGTTGTTTTATACATCAATTTTAACGAATAATTGCTTATTCGGCAATTGTTAGAAATTAACTGTTTACGTAGAAATAATTAGATGTCCACCAGGTTTCTTCAAGATATGTATTAAAAGAGATGATTACTTGTATTAATTATTATCCCTGCAAGACGTTGTACGCCGAGTAAGATATTTTAATGATCTGAAAGAATAAACATTAAAATGGCATGTGCAAACCAAAGTATAATGACATGGGCACCGACTTTTGTGGAGAGTGTGTGATATATTCTATATATCAGAATTTTACGTGTGTGGAATTCTACGCATGAACTATTTTTTAAATATAACTCATGATGATAACTGTGTTTTTTCTGCCTTGAGAAGATTGAAAACGTATTTTCGTTCTACGATGCAACAAGTTCAGTTGAATTTAGTGACTGTATTGCATGTGCATTCCGATATTGATGAGACTTTGGATATTAATGCACTTATGAATGAATTCATTATAAAAAACAATATTTGGAGTTCAACACTTTCTCTAAGTGTTTCAATAAGTTAAACAAATATATTCAAAAGATTTTATTATTAGAAGAATTTCGATCATTCATTCATTATTCTGTTATAGTCTTGATATGAAAATCTATATTCTCTATTATAGTTTTGATACGAAAATCTATAAAGAAATCTTGGAAGTAATTATAAAAATGTTGTTGTATCCTCTCTCCCGTCACGCTGTTCAACTCCACACATGACAAATTGACAAGTCGGGGGGTCCCCCAATTAAACATATTAACAATGTTTTCAATATCGCTAATATGTCATCATTAATATCATCCTGTTTACCTTCATAAAAGATTCGTTGGATAAAGTAATTATGTATCCGCTAGTAATCTTAATTGGCTTCATAGATCGCGTAATAATTATCAAGAGTGTCTTCATCAAATCAACTGGAAGCATCGACCAGTCCATCTCGTACACGGCGTTTCCGATTTCAGTGCTCTACGTATTTAAGAATGAGCTGATTAAAAAGAAAGTTTATCAAACCAGCTTTAAGTAAATTAAATATTCCTTGAAAAAGATAACGTTTTAAAATGTGTAAGAATATTTAAATAATCGACCTTCAGTGTCACTTCGTTGCCGAACCAGCAGTACAAATAAATCTGTATAAGCATGGAACCAAGATACGACGAGCTATACGCAAACTCGACGCTTAGTAAGTTTGTCGTCAACATTTGATAGATGCAAAGACAGAGCACTGTCGAACTTATGGTGAATTGCACGAAAATCATTAGCATGAACACCGCATTCATGCGTTCCGCAAATCTGAACCATTACAATTATCTTTTCAATATACATGTACATATATTTCTTTTTTTTCTTCAAAAGCGAATAAATTCTATTTTCACCTATACACGTAGCGATGATGATGTACAATCTCGCGAACTAGTTGCCGTTCTCGTACTTTGAAGTCTTCCTTCGAGATGCTGCATTTCCACGCCTCTTGTAACAAATCCGGCAGTATGCGAGCTCGATAGCAGAGTATATCTAACTGGGCGCAAATTTGAATCATAAAACCAGAAATGAGAGTCTCGTGGGCAACACTGGCGTTCGCGCAAATCATCACTGTGATGGTTTGGTGCAACAAAGTTGCCCAAAAAATAGTCGTTGATGAGATATCATAGGGCACCCAGTCATAGAGCGGTAAGGTCCGAGTGTTGACAAAATGTCGAAATTGAGCAATCGAAAAAAAGGCGGCCGATTCATTCAGTATTTCGCAGCATATGGTGATTATCCTGAAGAAATATTTAAAAAATATTTAAAAAATATGATGAGTTGTTCAAAGATAATTAAATAGACGATTACACTCCCTATAAAATTACTTAGCTCTATACACAGCGTTATGAATAAATTTCTTTATTGTGTTGGTTCCGTTTCCTGCGTTAATGACTTCTTTTTTCTCTTGGATGTTAAGAGTGTTTCAGACAAGTTTAATTTTAAATATTAATCACTAATCTTTTAACCATTACTTCATATTTTATTATAAAGAATTAATACCTTGTGTTGTATTTCATTTAAAGTTTTCCTTTTATATTATTATAACTATTAACAATATTAAATAGTCTAAGAAGAAATATTACACCATTGGATAACAAAAAAAGGAATGGAATAAAATAACACAAAAAGAGATAAGAAAGAATTTCGAAATAAAGAGGATTTAAGAAGGAAACGAAAAATGTAAAAGCGAAAGGACTAATTGTATGTATAACTATATGCATATAACTCAGTGGAAATAAATTGAAATCGGATGACAGCAATGACAGCATAACAGTATGTTAATGACAGTATTAAAGTAAGAGATTTTAAAGAATTTAGAATTTTATTATTATATGTACATATTTAGAGGGCTTCTTTTACCATAATGGAAGATTTTTTTTGCAATAGAGAACGAGAGGAGATATTTATAAATATTTGCTCGTTTGCAAGGAAATAGAAAGACGACAGAGACGACAAGGAGATGGCAGACAAGAGAGAAGTTTGAGATGAAATTTGAAATTATACAGGGTGTCCCATTTTAATGTTCCACCCCAAATAACTTTTTTATTTTTAATCTTAGGAAAAATATTTCAGACAAAACTTGTATAGCTTTGAGAGGGACACAAGGTGGTGTCATTATTTTGACCTTGAATAGTTGCTTGAAGGTCACGTGAAGGTCACCTTCAATTTCTTAAATGAAAACTATTTTTCATTAGATATTCTTGTAGCTTACCTAAAGAGCTTTCCAAAACTACTATAATAAACTACTATAATAAAATATTTTTTCATCAAGTACTTTTTTAGTTATGATGCTCGAAAGTTACAGTACATCCGGTATTTAGCATTATCCAAGGTGTCCGATCGACAGTTAAAACCTCTTAAATGTTGTTTAAGATTATGAACTAAATAACATTTGTTAAGATCAAGACCACTGAAGGCCATTGTTCCTCTTATTTGCATTTTTACACTAAAAATTCATTTTAACGTAAAAATGAAAATAAGACGTACAACTTCCAATAGCCTTGATTTTGATAAATGTTATCCAGTTCATGGTCCAAAACAACATTTAAAAGGTTTTAACTGTCGATCGGACACCTTAGATAATGTTAAATGTCGAAGGTACTGTAACATCCGAGCGTCATAACTAAAAAAGTACTTGACGAAAACATATTTTATTATAGTGTTTTGGAAAGATCTTGAGGTAAGCTACAAGAATATCTAATGAAAAATGGTTTTCATTCAAGAAATTATGAAGGTGACCTTTACGTGACTTTCAAGAAACTATTCAAGGTCGAATTAATGACACCATCTTATGTCCTCCTCAAAGCCATACAACTTTGGTCTGAATCATTTTTCGCTATCTTGCTTACCTGATGAGATATTCGCGTGGAAGAATTAAAATGGCCCACCCTGTATGTATATATACAGGGTGTCTGGCAACGACCGCAAAATATTTCGTGCGTGCACAGAGAGAAAAATTGTTTGGTATTTGTAACTATAATTATATATTACTATAATTATAGTCATTTTAGGTTGCCAATTATAACATTTGTTGCTGGAACTACGAGGTGTGATCAAAAAGTAAGGTGACTTTTCATTTTTATAAAAAAATATTCATTTATTCATCCAAAATTATGTTATCCCCTTCAAAATAATCCCCCTCTGATACAATGCACTTGTGCCAGCGCTTTTTCCAGTCGTCAAAACACTTCTGAAATGCACTTTTGGGTATTGCCTTGAGCTCCTCCAGCGATGCAGCCTTAATCTCCTCAATCGTCGCAAATCTTCGTCCTTTCATGGGCCTTTTCAATTTTGGGAAGAGGAAAAAGTCACAGGGGGCCAAGTCTGGTGAATACGGTGGCTGAGGCATGATGATAGTATTGTTTTTGGCCAAAAAACTACTCACTAGTAACGACGTGTGCGCAGGTGCATTATCATGGTGCAGAATCCATGAATTTTCTTTCCACACTTCCGGACGTTTTTTTCTTATTGATTCACGCAAACG